CATCACTGCACGGCCCTGTACGCAGCTTGCTCCAAAACAGGCCAACACCTTCACTCGCCTCAGCAACAAAATGTCACTCGGCAACACGGACGGAGACAATACTCAAACCCTCAACCCTACATCAGGTCCCCAGCAGTCAACAGAAGAGGCTTCGACATTTACAGTCAAACTTCCCCTGCTCAACCCCGCATCGGACAAAGCTCAGTATCTAAGGTGTAGGATTTAGGGTCTGATATGGGATTTATTCTCCCCACGGAAAATCAAATGCACAAGAAAATAAGCTACTACTTCTTTTAGGGACCATAATGGAGAAGCACATTCCAAAGACAATGGAAGATGAAATGGGAACTGGGATGATAGCCCCTAAGATGTTTTGCGAGGACATCGCACAACTCGCCAAGGGTCATCAAGCTTACGCACAAGTAACCCCAAAAAGGCATTCACAAATACCACAAAAGAGAACATCATCCCTCTAATCTTCAGACAGTCAGTGTTGCCAAATCTCTGCGCTCATAAGCCCAGTCCCGAGCTTATCCTGTCTCCTGTCTGGGATGAACCCTAATTAGCCAAGCTTTCTTGGGGTGCTTTGATTCCCGGGTATTGTGTGAAGTGAAGCCGTGCCAGACTTCTTCCATCGGCTGCAGACATGGCGCGATTCCATGTCGCTAGTGTGGCATGGTACAAACACGGGGAAGGGATGCTGATAGGGGGCAAAAAAGGCTTAAATAGCAGTACATAGTTGGTGTAATAACACCCTAACCGCCCTAACCATCCCGACCCTCTCCATACAACCATGATTCTGAACTCTGGGACGTTCGATCCATGGCCCCTGCCGCATCAGTGCCGTGCCAACGAGACGCCACTGCCATGACCGCCTTCCGCCTACCTCCAGTAGAGAAGGCACATAACGGTGACCCTGACAAGGTTCAGGATTCCAGAGAGTTCCGTAAGCCTTGCATACATGCGTGGAAGGTTGGGCAAGCTGACCAGTTCTTCTACTCGAAAACTAAAGCCTACCCGAACAAACCGTAACAAGTCTGAAATGTCTGAACACAGCACCGGATGAGTTGTGTGGAAAGAGGAGCCCAAAGTCATAGACATCAGCTCAGGGGTTGCATGTTCAAATGGCTGTCAGAACTCTTGCATTGGCAGATCCCGGATTGTTCGATCCTATCTCTATGCGGCCCAGCGTGAGGCAACTATTGCAAAAAGCCAATGCCTGAACCCAGACTGCGTAGAATAATCGCCCTTTTCTGCGTTGGGGCCAGGGTCTTACATACTGTTCAAGTCCAGGCAACCCCAATTCCTAAACGTAACTTCTAGTATTCCTCTTCAAGAGACTGCTCCCGAAAAGACAGCTGTAATCGGTGGTCATGCAATAGCCTTCGATTTTAGATCCTGGACATCCGGCCTACCTCTTCCATGATATGTCCATGCTCTTTTCGCATAGGTTCTTCGAAGTTCTGCCGCATGTAATTCAAGAAGAAGGCCGGATTCCTACGTGTTGCTTGCAAAAGTCGAGCGCGGGTCCAGTTCGGATACGTTGTATAAAAAGCTGCTGATTGAATTGTACGGCGAATCGTAGCATATTCTAAGGAGCTTCCCCCAAAAGGCATCGGTTTCGCAACTGCCCAGCAAACCGCGTGCATGGAGAGGAGGGCAAGTAGGGTCTGGCGTGCAGCACATACATCTGAATTGTGGGCTGGCGCAAAAGCTAGGTACCACCATGCACCCAAAGAACACTCATATCAGATCTTATGCAAGGATCCCAGAGAAGGGAGCATGTATATTTGAGTTTCGTTCTCGGCTGCGAGGAGCTGAGCACCATGCCTAACAGAACTTCTGCTCGCTGCTTCCACAGCCTTAGCACAGGTGTGCAGAACCGTCAGCTGCAAACGCATACAGAAACGAGCCTTGTTCTGATTCGCTCCCTTAACTCCTTTTGGGAAGTCGAGATTTGCCCTGATTGAAGTGGGATTATACACATTTTGTAGCTAAAGGGCCCTGGTCGAAAGCAAAACAAAGGTAAAGTCTGAGAGCAAGACGATGCCTCAGACTGTGCCGCCTGTGTTGGCTGCATGCAGGGCAGCTATCCAACTTACTGGGGGCAGACTAGGGAATATCCGAATAAACTGGGATTATAAAGGGATACTGGAAAAGAAAATAGAAACTACTACTTTATTTATAACAGTGCATATTTTGAGTTATTGTAGGGAGTAGGGGAATAGATTATACAGGGGGATTATATTACCTTATTCGCTACTACATGGGCTTCTCCAAATCACCCTACTTCGTGGGAGTCCTCATGATCAGGACCATCAAACTTGCCTTGCGGTTTATGTATCCCAGGTTCTTTGAAACACCTTTATCCCAACCTGCTGCAAGTACCTCAGTGGCGGCCCACGCAGTCGTCTACATGAGTAGGAAACTTCCGACTTCAGCAGTTTGCCTGGAAAGTGCTCTTCCCAACCGAAAGTGTGAAAATCGAAGCATTCAAGGAGGGCATGCAGTTCGCAGAGAAAGAAACTTGTCAAAACGCCCTAAATACTGATGATGTGTTTCGGCGAGCTGTACACCACTTGCTGACAGCGATTCTTGCCTCGAGGGTTGAAGAAGCCTCCGAAATCTCCAGCTTCAAAGCTGTGAGGACCGCAGCCTGGGCCTCAGACTCCACAGAGCAGGCAGCAAGGTAGCAGCGGCCATGATGATGGCAATGATGTCATTGCGGCCATCACAGGCAACATCCATCCGTGAGCTGTTGGACATGGCAAACTAGAACTGCAGCCGCACCTTTTGCCATCCCAAGCAGGCTCAGCAATTGCAAAAGCGCACCACGCTCTGCGTGGTTAGCACGGTCGTGAACCTGAGAGCAGGGACATATTGCAAGCCATAGAGAATTTGCAGAAAACTCTGTCAAGATCATTGTGGAAGGAATACCATGCATTTTCATTGGTAGTTGATTCTTGCTGCGTCTGCTCCAAGCAACCATGAAGATGGGCCGCAGGGCTACGGTGGTTTCCACCTGGACCTGAGCTTCACTAATAATAACATTGGATATGAATGGCAATCTCTCAATTGGATTGGCAAACTCTATTCAGGACTATTCAGGACTGTACGAAAGATCCGCAAAGAAGACACCTGCCCTTGAGAGCAGCTGCATCGGGTTTCCAAAATGTAGGTTATGGGTCTTTGGAAAGGACAAGGAAGGGTCCATCACTCCTATGGCATCCACGGCCGGCCTCCGCGCCAACAGTGCGACCCGCACCATACAGAGGCACCTCGAGCAAAGGGCTCTAAGACCATGGTGGTGCTGGTCGTGCGCTAGTAACCCCGTCACCCTGTTGTCTCGCGACGGCCGCAGCTGATGCCATGTAGAGCCACCGTCACCCATCCCATCCTAGCCCCGCAATGAAAAGAAGAAACGCGACGCCGCAGCTTGTTGCAGCCAGTATGCGGTCGCAAGATTCCGTGCAGCCTTCCGTCGGTTGAGGCGAAGGGTGTCTGCGCACCATGCATCAATCGCCGTAGCCACCAGCTCTCCCGATGCGGCCTTGGTCACGTCCAGGTCCTGCGCACGGTCCCTGGCACAACTTCTGATGCACTCACACGCTGACATCATGCAGAAACGAATAAGCCAGGAGGACATGAGTCACTAACAGCCCTGTCATCAGTTTGTTCAGCAAGCATGAGCCTACTTCCGTCAAGGGAGGCTGACAGCGTCCTTGCCAACAGCTGCGGCAATGCAAGAGATGCTGCTCCTGAGACAGGATTCTTGTCTGCCCCATGTGGCATCGATGAAAGCACTGGATCTGTGGACAATCAGCCCTACGTCTGAATCGCAACGAATGGCAAAGGATCATGCAAGCCTTTCACACGGCAATTGAGAACACGAAAGCATGTTGTCAGGATACGCTTTCAAGGCCATTCCGAATCCGCAAAGCATTCTTTGATTTATCACCATCTCCTGGGTAAGGTATCCTAGAACTTCTTTGGAAGCCTTTCGAGCCTGCAGTCCCCACATGTCCCCGCTCTTCTCTGACACTTCTTCAGCTCATGAACGCATGCTGCTGTAATGCTTTTGATTTTTGACCTTGAGATACCTTGAGCGAATCTCTGCTAAAGGGCGCACCTCCTCGCGAGCAGTAGCCAGTCACGCCGACTCTGCATGAACAGCTGCTTCTGCACTGTCCCAGTAAGGGCGTCCCCAAGACTGCTTTGACGCCTACGGATCGGCACGTCATGGTCTACCAAAGTGCGGGGTGATAGCACCGCAAAGCTTCCGGAAGTTTTAAACCAGCCCCCGAGAAGCAAGCTACCGCTGTCGGGCACTCCAAAGGCATCGGTGGAGTTCTGAAGGAATGAAGATGCTACTGCTACACCTATTGCTTTCCATAGAGTCTTCTTCAACATGCATCCCAGCATCTCCAACACCGGCTCTCGTAGAAGAGGATCCTTCTGGTCGGATGGGAAGATACAGAGCTCCTGCAGCCTCCAGGCTTTGGCAGAAAATTGCAAATTTGCTCCCGCAAGTTGCAAACACTGGAGCCATGGAAAGTAAGCTTCCGAAGTGGAACAATGGCAAAGCCCGCTTTGAATCCCCTCCTGCTCACAATAAACCCCTGCCACCTCCCATTAAACCAAATACGCCGCATATAAGTCGTTATGAAATGGGGAACGATTTTCATAATTTTGGGGGTGTGGGGGGGATTAATACTCTGGGGAGGTGATCAGTTCACGCGTCCTTTTTCTGCCGTGTTGCGCTCCACGACATGTGCTCAATTCTGAGCACACGCGCTTGCTACGGCTACGGCAAAAATTGCATCTGTCGCAGCCATGCATGTTTGGCTCAAAGTCGCATGTAGATCTCGCCGGCATGGGACCTGGACTTGAGCTTCTTCCCTCACGGCTTCGAATGTCTCTGAGTCTGTAGGGGTAGCGACTGGTAGTGAATGGCCACCATCACACGCACGAGGATCCGGAAAACAGCCGTTCATTGCAATTCATCTTGCTGCGCTGGATGGTGTAGAGGGCTTGCTCGGAATCGACAGCCGTCCACTTGCTGCCGGGCTTACCGGTGAGTATCCTGACAATACGCGCTGGCTACTTTCCGTGAATGCGTGTGCTTTGAAGACCATGTCTACAACAATCCTGCCCAACCCTCCTTCAGAAGATGACCAGTGAACAGCCTAGAGCCTAGACATGTTAAAACCGCACATTCCTTTGTAAGGGTTTTGGTGGTCAGCGTCCTACGACTCACTTAGACCATCTGATAGAATCCGGTTGATCCTGGGCTTGATCTCAGACAGGCTTCCAGTCACCGTGGCCTGACTGGGCTGTGCAGGCAGAATACGCGTGAGGTCATGGAGCTCCCGTCGCAAGGTATCACACTCCTTAGATAAGGAATGCCTGAAGGATGCCATGCATGCTAACGAATAGGCAGCAGAAGTCTGCACAGGAAACTTGCCAAGCATCATGCATGGCAAGGCTGTAGCATTTCGACTCCGTAGTGCAGAGGCTCCGCAACTCCTGAACAATGGCCGTCTCCTTGAGCAAGCGTGCAATCGCATGTGCGGCTTGTTTCAAAGTATGATCCTGAAAAGGGCGCATGGCCTAGAATCGGACTAGCAGACATGTTGAGGGCAAATGAAATATGACATGTTTGAGGTTTGCATGCTTAGCCACCGCGGCAAGAGCCGCTTCGATTTCGGAGTTCTCTTCTGTCAGCTCACTTTGTCGTTCTTCGTCTGCGTCATGTTCCTCCAGCGCAGCCTGGCTCGGAACAACACAGCAACATGGGTATTGCCAATAGTTGGTTCCCTTCCCGCTTTGGTGCCGAGGAAATAAAAAACACTATGCCCCATGTGAAGCAGCCCATAATAGGAAGTCGGGATTGCATTGGACCTGTAGATTTAGAATATGGCCAGAAGTTGTGTATCTGTAGGGCTCCGCAGCACGGAGCGATGAGACATAGGATTCATATTTATGATGTCTCCAGGCGAAAGTGTCCCGTACATATTTGTGGTACCCCCCCCAATACCCGCAGAACCCCCTGTTCAGGTACCCACCTGAACAGGCATAAGCAGCACTACCACATCCAGGGAGGGTTTTCGTAATATGCTGGGACTACTAGGACTGCTGTATCAAACTATTTGTTCAGGCAAGAGTTGTTCAAAAACTCTGCCGGAAGCAAAAAACCAATGCAAAAAATGATAACAAAAAAACAAAAATGCGGAAGTCTTGGTGGAGCGCCTTCCAAGAGCCATTTATTGAAGACTTCAAGATTTGTGTGTACTTTTTTTTGTATTGGTGTTTGGTGTATTTTTCGGTTTTTCTGTATTGGTTTTTTTCGTTTTTGACAGTGCAACCATTGTGGTTTTACACAGGGCCGTGTACGTAGTGTATTATGTAAAATCAAGAAATTTTCTTACAAATGCAAAAAAAAAGGGGCTTCATTCGATGCACGAAACCTTGTCCGTATGAGGGTTCAACTCAAGCTCGAGTTGATTCTATTCAAGTTCGAAAAGATTAAGGTTTAGGGTTTAGGGGAAACCCCTGCAAGGAACTGGAGCTTCCACTTCTCTCACGTCAATTCTATTTCTGTTGCATTTTTATTGCGGAGAAGAGAGAATGGTATTCCGTTCGGGAGAAGAGAGGTTCGCTTTAACTGGTGGCCTGATTAAAGAGTTGTTGGTTGTGTTGGACTTAACAAACTAGAAAATTAAAAATCAGTGAATCATTAAAATCATTCAAATTCAGCTAATTCATGTAATACAGAAATCAAAAAATTCAGAAGTCAAAAAAGTCAAATATATATATATAGATCATGAAATTAAATATCACCAGGAAATCTCGTTTGCAGGTGAGTGAAGGAACCTTACATTTGGTATGCTCCTTCTACGTAGTCTTGGTATCCAAAGAGTCTGCCGGTTACTCTTTTGTTTGTGCCAGAATCGGAAGATCTCAATACTTGTATTGCCTTCCTGCGCCACAAATGTTTCTATTTTAAGGAGGAAGTCCCAAATCCTTGGCCCTGCATTTTCCCTCTAAAAACGCTACCAAATTTGACAAGAATTTGCATGATATTTTTCATGTTCTCTTACAAGAGTCCCTTCACACAAGCCTTCACTACGTTGACTTTGATAAATAGATAGTTTACAACTTTGCTTCAAATTTAAAAAGGAAATCTCAAATTCAATGGTCTTGTTCACCAGAGAGTTTAAAAGGTTTTTTTGTGCCCGAATCGAAATCATCTCATTGGTGCCAGCATTTTCCTTTCCTCAATATGGAAAATACTTATAATATTCCAAAAGTTTCTGAGAGATAGTACAAGCGTTTGAAGTAACAAGGGGGAAGTCTCAAATCTTTGTCTCTGCATGTTTCCTCATTAAAAGCCATGCGTCTCTTACATAGGCCCCTTGGCAAAAGCCCTCGCTACATTGCAAATTCTAAACAGAGATTCTCAAATCCTGGGCTCCTGTTTGCCTGAATTTCTATGTATCAATCCCATGTTAAACGTATTTCAATTTAAACAAGAATTCGCAAGTCTGGGGCTTCTTTTTTCTCTGCACAATTCTTGAATAAATGTGACTCAGATTTTCACAGGAATTAACAAGTAATCAGAACATCGCATCAACTGGAGACCATGGGAATAATATAGATAAGGGGCTTATAGTGATATATATATATACACGTATAGAATGAGCCCAAGATTTGAGAAGCCACATATAGATTTACAGCGTATTTAGTAAGGAATTCATATAAAGAAAAACGAGGCGAACAGGAGCCTAAGATCTAAGAATTCCTGTTTACTTGTGTAACACATGTCGCAATGATACGCGACTTTCACAATAATAGATGCTTTCCTTGAGGAATGTGCACAGCCATAATAGGCTTACTCTTTGGCATAAGTCTTGCCAACATGTCAAAAAGTATGGGCCCAGAAGAGTCCAATAACATTAAGTGGGCTCGGTTCTCAGACGTGAGTTCTTTATGGAATATGCACATGCATGCTGGCAGCCACTGCTGAAATCTGCCAAAAGTGTGGGCCCACAACAGCCCCATCTCTATTCTTATATATTGACACTTTTTTAATGTGAAACATCAAAAGGTGTGAGGGTACCAGCTCCATATCCCTGATGCCGGATGCCATGGCGACTCTGCTACTTGGAGCCTGGTTTTTTGCGGGTATTGGAGGGGGGGCACATATATATATATATGTATATCCACAGGTATGTGTATATATTTACACACTGAACGAAAATCCTAAAGCCCCAAAAAAGGTTAACAAGACGTTAGCTCACATGACTTCAAGGACAGCAGGCCCTTGCCTTGCACTCACTCAGCACGAAAGCTGCCTCAGATGATTCCGACCTTAGACAGATTCCGCCAGCAGCAGGGGAGTAAGTACCCTGGTATTTCAGTGCTCTTGCTCTGCTTCTGCAGTTTCTGGTGCCACAAACAGCCGCCACTTAGCTTGAGCCCAAAGACTTCAAGTGCTGCGCCTCTTGCGCCGCTTTGAAAGCCTCAATGCGCAGCTGCCGAGCAGATTCCAGCTGCATTCCTGCAAATGCGGCTAAGCTTGGGCAGGCGGGGCTTCTGCTGCTGTAGGGCCTATATCAGAAGAATTGGGTCGTGAGGGTGACATATACCATGCTTACTGAAGTGTAGCATGATTTGGGAAACTACTCCCAATCACTCTCTCTACTACGTACATGAAAAAGCTCATCATCTTCACAACCTTCGAACTTCATCGATTCCTATTGCTGTTTCTACGAGCAGCACCTATACCGATGCCATGTTGAATCTGTTTGTGTTCTGTCACCAGCAAGGCCATCAGCACGGAAGCCATCAAGTTGGAACATCAGCATCCGGCAGCATCCCCTTGCCGTAGCATAAAGCATCCTGCTTCCATCTTCTTGCAGTTGTTGGGCAACTACATGCCTGCAAATTAAATTCTGTGAATCAAGTACTATACCCAGAAGGAGGATATAATCTTACACAGTACTGGATATATCACAGTAGCACCAAGTAAAATACTACTTATGTGGGCTGCGGGTCGTGTCTCCGCTTCCGCTCGCTGTATGGCTGCCTGCTGCTCCGTGGCCTTGCAGGAGCAACGACATGGTCCAAGTTGGGGGGTCACGGGGACTTAGTAATTAGTTGGGTTATTCCCCCTACAGTAACTGTTACCACAAGGGGTAATAGGAATTATAATAGCCCCTTAATACGGCCCCCTTTAAGGACAGTTACTGGGAGGGGGAATGACCCAAGCAATTAGTAAGTGTACTTATAACACCAAAAAAACACAAAAAAAAACCAACAGCCATTCCCATTAAAATCCTACTTTCTAAGCTCCCCTGCCCCTCCAAGTAGGGTTTCGCGTTTAGGCATTTTAGGCAGCAAAAGCAGATGTGAGCTTAGCTCCCTGGAGAGATCCAAGTGCCCCCATTTAGTGGAGATAGCTAGAGAGAGGGACGGAGAGCTTGTTTTGGCTGGTCAGCAATGGGAGATGTCGTATTCGTTCAGAATGTGGCTCCCGAAGCAGAACCTCATCCTGCTCAGATACCAGGCCGCCGCTTCTGAAGTAAAAGCATACGTAGTCACATTGCAAGTCAACATTCACCTCGGAAAAGGCAAAAAACATGACAATAATAGTGCTTATGCTGGTGGTGGCAGCTGCTGTTGACGATGCAAATAGCTTGTGCCCACGAGAACAACAAGAAGCAACACCGAAAATGAAAACTCGCAAGCTTGCAACGCTTCTACCAATCGAACGATCACATGAGGACAACATCAGGCGTAAAGCAATGCCTCTTTGCTCTGCTACGAGTATCCACTGTAACTAATCCCAACAGTCACGACAGAAGCTGCCGGTGCCCTAACAAGTGCTAGAACGGTACTTGGACCTCCCAATGCGTACGTTGTCACCTGACAAGTCCTACACCCACGCCGTGTGACCCCTCATTCCTCCATACATATCCGACACTTTGTTGGTGTGAACACACCCGAAATGAAATCCGCGAGACCTCCTGGTCTGTGGCATACAAGATATACAAGGTCCAAGGGGTCCGACTCCCTTCGACTCTCTTCAGTACACCCCCAACCTTTCAGAGGGGCCTGTATAAGCCCCCAAACAATGACTTCTCAGACCACACCTGTTTCGATTTAAAAGAAAACCTTTGCAACCCCAAACGCGAATTTCAAGATCTGAAGCCTGAATCCTACATACTACATGCTGAGACTTGAGCCGATTGCCGAGGCGGTTCCTAGAACATGGAGGAACGGACACTAATCCCTAGATTCCTTTCCTTCATCCCTACTGACCACCTTAAATCCTGAACCTTGGCCCTACGTCCTAAGTTCTATGGCAGATACTATTTTCTGTTCCTGTTCCATTCCCTGTCTAGCCCAAGCACCCTAAACCCTAAGCCCTAAGCCCGGAACCCAGGAAGGCAGAGCTCTTTCTGCCTCGCTCTCGACACGACTTTCCCGCCGGCACTCTGCGATGAGCTGTGCCTCTGTCCAACCAACAAAGTGTCTATGTAGGGGTTCTGTAGGGAAATAAGGGGCTCATAGGGACGACTGTAGGGATTAAGTATATAAAGGTTTACAGGGATTATGTAATGTTATATATGGGGTTGTAAAAATAGGAATACACAGGGGCCATGTAGGGGGTATACAAGGTTATGTGTGGGTCATGGTTGCGCATGTAAGGGTGAAGGCTAAGGGCTCAGGGCTAGGGCCTTCGGACTGCAACATTTAGAGTTATGAACTTGGAGGTCTGGGATGTTGGGATTTTGGGGTTCAGGGTTTCAAGTTTAGCCGATTCCGTGAGCAGCTCTCATTGCGCCATGCCGGGCTTGTGGAGGTTGCCACCATGCTTTGGAATGTGACGCTGTCGTCAGTTTTTAATTAAAACTGATGCCAGTGCTGGGGAAGCCAGATGAGTCTGAGCGCGGACTCAACGCGAAAAATCCAAGCTTCACGGAAACACCCTACGCCCTCTCACCAAACCTCTAACGAACTGCAAGAGCTACTCCGAAACCACTCGCACCCTTGGTGCTACCACTAAATTTCCAGTACTACTTCATACTGCTGCCGTCGCCGCCTCCAACCACTACTGTTGGAGGTGGGCTACCGCTACCACGACTCCTCCTCCTCCTCTTGCTCCTACTCGTGCTACTCGTACTGCTCGTACTACTCGCGCTGCTCCTCTGCCCATTGCTGTAAAGCCGGCACCTCCAGGGAAGCTGCGGCGATGGACTCGCGCTGGCAAAGCTCTCTCTCAGCTTGGAGCTCGTCTTTACCTCTGTGGTCGGGGTGGGGCTCGGTGGCGATGGCGGCAGCGGGGGTGGCGGCAGTTGACAGGCAAAGTATGGCCACTGCATGGAAAGAGGGTTGAGGAGGTATCTGACCACAGCTAGAATCACAAATAGAGCAGAAAGAAGCAGTTATATGAGATAGAGAGGCGCAGCAAAAGCATACTTGGGCCCCGACACGATTTGAGCTCCGCCTCTGCCTGAGTTCTGAAGGTACATTGGATGCACAATAAAGCTACATAGGCAGGTCTGATAAAGGAAAGGTATGGGAAATGCAAATCGTTCATGGTCACCCTTGCTTTGGGGGAGGGCCTTAATAGTGATGCATTGCCAGGTCATCCCATGTACTTTGTATCCCGCCAGATGAGGTGGCAAACAACGCCTTGGATGCCGTGCCAAATCTTAATACAAAGGTGCGATAGCAAGCTGCCGCTGAAGATCTGCAGAGCCGGCCTCATTTCGTGCAGCAGCTACTTTCAGAGCTCGTAGATGGAAACCGTTGTTGCAACCTCCTCACACGGGCCAGGGCTAGACAACAGGGATATCCTCGCATGAGATGCCGCACAACTCGGACCAAACCCGACAAACCTGACCATAAACATGCGTGCAGTACTGCCGAGGTGCACGACCTGCCGAGGCTGCAGCTGACGCATCCATCAACAGCGACAACCCGGATCGGTCATCTGCAGGACAAGAGTAACTGCCAACGGGCAACAGCCGGGCGGGCATGCTTCTTGATAAGGTAATGATGCCTCGGGAGGCTAGGAATCGAATACGTGAACCGAGCGATCAAGCAGAATCACCGCCACATGCCACAAATTCACAACTTAACACGAGACAGGGAAGAGCTATTTATTACGTCCTCAAGTTGTGCCTGCAAGGGGCCCTGGTGTTCACGAGTTTTGTTGTACAATGCCATGTAGTCAAATCCAAGATTCTGAGCCTGAGGACAACTCACGGCAGTTCAACGGTCAAGGAAACTTATATAGGGATAATTGAAAAGAAAATGGAAACTACTATAGTACATTGGGTTATACAGGGATAATGAAAAGGGAAATGGAAACTACTATAGTATGTTGGGTTATATAGGGAATGGAAGGCAAAAATGGAAACTACGACTCATCCAGCAAGGTTTGCTAACTGCACCAATTACATGGCAGGCATGTCTCAGGTCGTTCCCCCTTACAGTAACAGTTGCCAAAAGAAATACTAGGAATTACAACAGCCCCTTAAACATTTCAAGCTATACTATAGTAGTCTCCATTTTTCCTTTCCACTATCCCTGTATAACCCAATGTACCGTAGTAGTTTCCATTTTCTTTTCCATTATCCCTATATAGCTCAATATACTATTGTAGTCATGATCCCAGCCATGGCCCTCATTCTCAGGCATTTGGCGCAGTACAGCTTCCTCTGGAAGCTGGGTCTAAGCGCCGTCTTGCAACTCAGGATATCTGTCACTTGTGCGTGCCCTGGCCTGCATGCCGCATGGTCCAGGCAGCACATCAGCACTTTTTGTGCAAATGCTTCGGACCAAGTGGCAGAACAGAAATATGCAAGTCGTTGTGCAGACTTGCTTTCTTCACAATGTTGTCGGAAGGCAGCTAGCTGCATAGCTGCAAGGTCTTCGAAGCCCACGTGTAGGCTCGCTCTTGGCAGGCCCCATATTCTTGTGGCTGGCCTCCAAAGGACATTCCTTGACCTGTCAACCGCTCTGTCTAGGCACGCAGCAGGCCTCGACGCCTGCTGCCCTCCACAAAGATGCATCCTGGCACACAAAGCTGGGGGACACCTGTCAGACTGGGCTCATCCGCGAGGGCTGCAACACGAGATTGAGCTTGTTGAAGGTGCTGGCGCGCGCCCGCCCCCAGTCGATTCTGCTGTGTCCGCTGTTGTGAGGGGGGTTCGCTTGTGCAAACCGGAAGGCGGATGCTTGGTGATCAGACGCGGGCTGGGGCTTGATGGTCTGAAGGGCCTGCGTCCTTTTGCCTTCGTTTCTGCCTGGAGCTGTCATCCTACAAACCGGGCATGCTGCAGATAACGCAAAAAAAAAGCCACATTGCCATGCTGCCAAGTGACTGGGCTAGGGGAGCTCTTGGTGAGCTTCAGGGACGGCACATTGCGCGGTGCTTGGGCTTGCGAGTTTTTTCCAGGCCTGCGGAGCTCTGAACGTTGGCCCGAGTTCACCAGGCTGTCTGCGGACACCGGGATCGTTACCTCACATGCATGCGCTTTGATTTGCAACATCAAAGCCAGCTACCCGTGCTTCTAAGCTGCTGCAGCTGCCAGACTCCGTGCTGGTGATGTTGCTCTTCGAATAGGGACGTCCAGGTTTGCGTCCCTCGCTGGAACAACGGGACCACGCTGTAGCCCCTGCTTTGAAAGCATTGTGGCACGCGGAGCAAGACTTGGGGCTCCAAGAGGAGCCGAATGAACCTGCATCGTCACATGCAGTCACACTGCCGAAGCAGTACATGTGAGTCTGAAACTGGCTTCTAGCCGCAGCCTCCTTCACTTCCTGGTCAGTCTGGGCTTCGGCATCTCGGGTTGTGAACATTTCTGCCTTGGCAGCTGCACGTAAGCACAGCGGGTCCGGGAGATCTGCTGGTTCACAACGCTATGCAAGAGATACTGTCGCAACATCCACTGCCCACAAGCCCTTTTGGAAGAAAGCGTTCAAAAGAAAAGGGGGACCTTGGGGTTCTGGGGAGTCTTTCGGTTCCTGAAAATCAATTGAGCAAGAGATCGGACCAGCTCGCATAAACCCGGGTTCGACATTACACAGGGGTAAATATGTGGTTATATATATATATATATCTCTCTCTCTCTCTCTCTTTCTTTCAGGGCTATAGAGGCATCCCTCTCTCCCTCTCTCCCTGATGCACACGTGCACATCACGCTTATACCTACCAATACAAATGTGTATGATTCCGAGAAAGGATTCGTGTTGTTCTGTGATCAGAGAGCACCTAGGTATGCACGCGTGCTTCTATATCTACATCCACACACAGATTTCAGCAAGAATACATGGATTCCGCGCTAGCGTCTGTAGCCTTACTTGCTATGCATATGTACATATGTAAGAAATAGAGATGGATAGATAGATACATGGTTGCTACCCCCCCCACCCCGCATGGTATGGTCCCCCTCCCCCTGCTGTGGACCCTGTGGTTGTTGTGGTCCTGTTGTGCTGGCGGTTCTTCCCCCCCCGTGGTACCTGTGCTCAGTTGGTAATTCTCCCCCCTTGCTCCTGTGGTCCCTGTGGTTTTGGTGGTCCTGTCCATGTGATTCTGCTCCTCCCCGGCTAGTTGTGGTCCTGTTGTGCTGGTGGTTCTCTCCTTCGCTGTGAGAGGTAACCTGTGCGTTAGTTACTGTCCTCTCTACGGAACAGCAAGGCGGTCAGGTGTCTGTTTTCTACACTCAGGCACAGAGGTGCTGGTAGTCCCTACATTAGAACTTTGAGCATAGGACATCATGCATTGGTGGTTGGACATGTGACTGCACTCGCAGGAAACTCAAAGCTTCAACTTCTGGTACCTATGCTGTGCTGGTGATTCTCCCCCGCCCCCACCCCCCCCGTGGTCCTGTGGTTCTGGTGGTCCTGTCCATGTCGTTCTGGTGGTATATTGAGAGGGTGCGGGTACTGGTAGATGATCCTGCTTCACATTATTTCTAATGCTGTTCCGTTAATTGTTCTTCTGATTTTGGACAGAAATTGATTTGGAGGTTCCTGGGATGGAGGTTCCTGGGATGTAGTGTCAGCTCACGATAAAGCCTAAGTAGAGCTATAGCCCCAGGTGTCAACAGCACGAAGGTCTAACAGTGACGACGGTTACAAGGATCGCGACACTAGGAGGCCGCTTCCCTTTTCAGACGTCAAGACCACACCAAGGTCCAAAAGTGATGACAGCTACAAGGATCTTGACATTAGGAGGCCACATCCCTTAACTGTTTGGACTGTGGAGACGCGACGAGAGCACAAAGAGCCAAAAGTGATGACAGTTAGAAGGATGGCAGCTTGGAGGCGTCAATAAAACAACGACAGTTACGAGGATTGCGGCACTTTTCAGAGGTTTGGACCGGGGAGGGGGGGGACCATACCATTGGGGGGGTAGGATCCCCAGGACCGGGAATATATATACATATGTATATATATATATATATCTTCTTCTTCTTCGGGTGAAGGAGGACCCTACATATATATATATCTCTCTCTCTCTCTCTCTCTGTCTCTCTATCTGTATGTGCGTGTATCCTGTTGGCACGTTGGAGGCTTCCCCGCCTTCTGCATGACGTGACCGTCAAGTCCCTCGCTCCTTGCTGGCGAGGCGTCCTTGGTGGAAGCCTCGGCATTTTGGTGCTTCCAAAAGCCGTAGGGCCATTTTGTGAAAAGCTTGCATGATTCCTTAAAACTTGCCGTGTGTTTGGCACCTTCTGAACCCAATTGCTCCAAACCGCCGTTTTCATGTGCTATGTCCCTTCACGCTTTCCGAGAGCATTCGAGCAAATCCAGAACACAGATTTTGTCAGCCACAGCGTTGCCGATGCAAGTTGGTGACCCAAAAAGAACGATAATCCCTATAAGGGGACCACTTTGGGAAGCCCCCACAGGAAGTAAAAAACTACAAGCAGGCCTCCAGGTCAAAGGTGGTCTCAAAGGCAGTGGATATACTAAGGTGACCATCCTCTGGCCGGTAGCCAGTGCCCAAGCCAAAGGCGTCGTCCTGAGGCCGCAAATTGTGAGATCCATGCTCCGACCAGCGCCAAATAGGGACCCAAAAATGGCCCACCTATAATAGTAACGATAAAGATAATGATAGGGTTTAGGGTTTAGGGATAATAGAAATAGTTGCAATTATAAAAACAGTAGTGGTAATAATAAGAATACGAATAATGGTAATAATGGTACTGATGGTCTTACACCTTAACAAGCAAGGGGTAGATTTCGCGAGCATGCATTGTCCTCCAAAAGGCCCTCGGTGAACAACATGCCAGTTTCAAGCACTTTCATCTCCATTGCAGGCTCCTCCCCCTTGCCGTGGGCCTTAGCAACATTTGATTGCTCTTGAGCTTGAAGTCCAACTCTTGAAATGGCCAGCCAAGCCACTTCTGAGTGCCTCGGCTCCATTACTGCCGGAGAGCGGGAGCCACTATCCCTGTCTTGGGACGTGTCCTCAGAGGAATGCATTAAATTGAAACCTTTTCATCAAGGCAATGGTGGGGAGGCAGTTGATCCAAGAGTTAAAGAATATTAACTCCTGAGTCAATTGCCCCGGGTCCGGCACCTTGGCAACCCCTTACATCCAGAACAATTAAATGCTGATCTAATTGTGGCTAGGAGCCTCTGGGACTCTGGGTGTCTAGGAATACCTCATGTATGCATATACATATATGTATATATAGATCGTAGGGTACGGCT